GATAGAACTGCAAAATACAGGCTATATGCCTATACAATTTTTATAATACAGCCGTGAAATACTATATATTGGAAATATTTCGTAAATATATGTGTATATGGTACACATGGCATATTTCACAAATATGCCTTATTCAGAAATATGGCATATTTTAGAAATATGGCATATTTTAGAAACATGGCATATTTATGGCATATTTTTATATATGGCATATTTCAATTTTTTTACACCAAATGTTATTATTTTTGCCGTATTTCTGAAATCAACTTGCGTAACACGCATTTTTTCCAAATTTCATATCATATTTCATATTTCATATTTAACGTTTTCAGTGCATATTTACTATTTTAAAATAATAATATGCCAATTTTTCGCCATATTTATTTTCGAAAAATATGTGTTCCTTGGTCAGGCTGTCAGCCGTCAGGTTTAGTCGGCTGTCGGCGAGTCGGGGGCTCAGTGAGTATTGGCGTAGTTAGCGAATGGCGCGAGTTGGCGACACTCGGGCGACTCGGCCCGACTCGGAGTCGGGTAGACTAAGATATTTTCGCTTTGTTTACCATAGCCCAAATAATAAATATATATTTTCATGTTTACTTGTTTTGTTTTATTTTTGGTCTATTATTTAATAAAAAATATTATATATATATATATACAAATGTCTTTGTTCAGGACCCGGGCGGCTGATACTTACACACAGGCCTGAGTCAGACTGTGCCGAAACTGCTCAGTGCTCAGTCACATCGCTCACTGTTTGCAGACCTGCAGACAGTTCAGATTACAGAACAGCCAGAACTACAAACTACAGGGCGGATCGCCTAAAAGCGAAAATACTGACTCAGACGGTCAGACCTCAGTCACTCAAAATGAGTGCTTGAGGCCCTGAGCCCTGAGCCCAGCCCTGAGATTTCCACTTTTTCAGTCCCGAGTCCCGACCGACTCTCGAAGTCTCGATCATCCGATTTCCTGTTTTGCTTGAAATTGTTTGTTGCCTCTCTATTCGAGTTCGTGAGTTGTGACTGGTGGGTGGTGACTCTTATGAGTGGAGAGTTGTGGCTCGTAAATCGTGAGTGGTGAAAAGTTAGTTGTGACTCGTGAGAAGCGAGTACTTGATCATCGAAGCCATCTCTCATTGAGTTGCGAGTACTCCTGGTGAGCTGGTCATGCCTCATCACGTTTGAACTTTTATTTCTGGTATAAAATACGAAAAGTTTGATCAATAAAACACTATGTGAAAATATTGTTGTAAACCAATTTACTCTGGAATATTGTTACTGTATACACAGTGTACTGGAATGGTATTTTAGGGTTTACGACAGTTTCGAGGAAAACGACAGATCAAGATTTATCATATAAACTATAATAAAAGCAATATTGTTGCAAAATTATACATACCAAGTTACCAACCTACTAGAAATGAACTTTTTTTATTTTGTTTTCATAAAAATATGTACTTCTATTTCTATATTTGTATTTATATAAACTACGTGGGCGCTCGGCCACACGCAGGCGCGCACCGTCTTAAAAAAGTTGTATAAAGTCAGCGGGACTGTGTAACTGGTTGTACATATTTACTTCACAAGCTGGAAACATATTGTTAACATATTGTTGACAAACAAACAAACATTATTACCAGTAGAGATTGAACACTTGGTTCGATATATACATCATGTTTTCATTTAGAATAACATGCCTGGCTATCTCGGTTGTAGCAACAATGTCAGCTGCTCGATCGATAATAGAATTGAGTCCGGAAGGTTCGGTGCAGGGACAGACATACACGACTAAATATATCGGGAAGGTTATGAGCGGGGATAGTTATAAAGAGATCAATTTAGAAAGTCTAAGGGATAGTACAATAGTTGCAAGGAGAACACGGTGTGCGGAAGAGTGCTTTTCAGTGGCCTGGTGTAGGACATTCGAGAATCTCGAAGATACCTTCGTGTGCAAGCTCTTCGGTGATATTTGCCCAGAAGAGTCTCAAACTGATAAGTTTCAGGTATACAACGATGCCTTTATCAGCTGTCCCGAGTTCAGCCGCACTACATTATTAAACGCAGATATTCCAAGTCAAGACACCGATGCAGTAGTAAAGGAATACTATGGAGATACAATTATGACTGCGGCTGTGGTACCAGGTTTTCAACACATTCACTCAGAAAGCGAGCCTGTTGTCCTATGGAAATTAGACTACCGTACACTACCCAACTACGTTGAGGAATTGAGTGGTACTGCTGGATCAGACATGTATCCCAGTGTGAGCGAGTATGCGAATGCATGCGGTAATGCATGCAACGCTGAAGCAAGTTGCATTGGCTTTGGGTTCGCCTATCTGCCAGAGACTGATCCCAATGCAACCGAGTGTGTGTGGGCAGATCAAACGACATTGTATTCTGCAACGGGATACAAGGAAACTTGGGACATGCGGTATGGTCTGTATCAGATGATGATCACCACCAACGGGACAGGTGCGTGCCCAGAGGGTCAGTTTCTAGGCTATCAAGAAGGTGGTGAAGTGACTTACGATGTGACTAAGTTCGGATGCAATGTTCAGTTCGGTGTTAATCAGATGTGTGCTCCTGAACAGACGGCAGTGTACGACCTGTCATACGATAACTCTGGCTGCAGCGCAGGGCTAAAGTGCGACTATCACCCCTTGGACCCGAACAAGTATGTGGGTGTTTGCTGGAACGACACCACTCTGGAAGCCGATAAAGCCGCACGCGTAGCCTTACTAGATGAGTATTCTGATATGATTAGTAACATAACTGTCGAAGGCTATGGTTATGTACGATCGGATGAGCGCGTTGATGGGCTCTCGAGAGGCTTGATGGCTTTCAGTGACAATTACACGTCCACCAAGGATGTTCCCGATCTTAGGGGTTCGACCCTATACCCAACTGTTATTGAGTTTGTAGCAGCCTGCACGACCGCCTGCGATACTACCTGCTGGGGTATTGCGTTTGTGTACAAACCTGAAGCGATGAATGAGAACGAATGCCGTCTGCTACCGAATAGCGTGACATTCAGCATGGAGTATGCACAGCAGTTTATCAAGGCTAACGGAACAGTTGTGCCTCCAGAAACTGTGTTGTACGCAGTATATGCTAAAAATAACGAGAAAGCGTGCACATTCGATGCATTTCCAGGGTACAATGTGAATTGGAAGGGAATGGACGATGTAGGCTGCCATCCAGTGGTGCCTGAGAACGAGCGATGTGTGACTGTTGACGTCGATCTACGTGCGAACTCAACCGATGGCTGTGACACTGGACTAGAGTGTCAGGATACAGCCAACTACGAACGCTGTTTGTATCCCGGATATAACCAGAACACCACTGCCATTGCTTTCGAGTCTTTTTATCTAGATAACAATGAGGTACATGTAGTGATCGCAGATGCCTCGTTTTCTCCCGAGGCCAATGTGCTTGCGACTGTAGACCTGAGCGATCTCAAGGATATGACTATGCAGGAGCGATGGTACCAGTGCGCAGTAGAGTGTCAGAATTCCGTGACATGCGTGTCCTTCGCAAATAATGAGCTGACATACTTGTGCGTGCTTTCGGATTCGAATATCAACGGGTGCGATTATGTGCCTAAACTTGACAGCTGCGCCGTAATGACGGTGGCCAGCGTAGGCTCATACATTAGTCAGATTGATCGGTTCTAGATCATACTTTTAAAGCGTCTTGTAGGCACTTTTGTCCAATTAATAATTAAATTTTAGGTTTCAAATCACTTGCAGTCGTATTGGATTGTTTGACAAGACACCTACATCGATATATATATGTATATATATGTATATATAATATAATATATACATACATGTATATATATATATAATGTATATGAATATATATATATATATAATGTATATGAATATATATATATATATATATGTATATAAATGGTATTTTTCGACATATAGATATTTATACATGTACATACACACACACATATATATACATACATTATATATATATTTAAATATATACTCGTATATTATATATACATACATGTACATATATAATA